GCGAAAGAGAGCAGCCTGCAACCCCCGCTGAAGGCCGAGCTCGGCAGTTGCAGCAGCTCCAGCAGCTCCTCTCTTCCTCCTCCCGGCAGTCAGACCTGAGGGAAACTTGGAGGAAGCCTCCGCCGACACCAAGCCCGGGTGAGTTAACTTCCTGGACGCCCGTTTTAGTTTGGTTTTATCTGATTATCTGTGGGGGACTTGCCCGCAGTTTGCAGCAGCGGGACGGCCGCGCTCGCAGCCCGCTCCTTTCTCTAGAGATGCCAGTTTTGCAAAAGGCAAAAGTTTGGGTTGTGTGGTTTTTTTTTTCCCTTTCCCTTCCCTCAATCGGAGAGACTCTCCAAGGTTGAGCTCCGGAGTTTTTGGTGCTCTCCGAGATTTTATTAACCTAACCGGGTAATAATCGGGTTTTTGTGTGCGTGTGTGTGTTTTTGTGTTTTAAAGGAAAAACGGGGAGAAAAAAAGGGCGGGGAAGTTGCCGGTCATTCGTGCTTGCTGTTGGCATTTATTCTAAGGGAGAGACATCAGCTTGGGTTTTTTTTGTTTTAAATTCATCTCTCCGCCTACCCTTCAAAATCCCCCTCGCCTCTGGTAGAAGCGAAAGCGAAAGACAGTCTCCAATGTGTCAGAATAAGCTGGGGTTAAATTTGATAGAAGCTCTGGGGTGTCCCTTTTCTTGCGCCTTTTTAAAAAAGCCGACCATTTTTTTAAATTTGAGGCCGTCAACAGCCTTAGGCGAGATGAACTCGGCCACGGTTAGAAGAGGCCTCTTACTCCTCTCTTTCATATTTTTTTTTCTCTCTCTCTTTTTTTAAGGGGTGGGGTTGCAAAGAGGCCGATTAGCCCAGGCGGAAAAATGTGTGTGCTGAAAAATGCCCCCTCGGCTTATAGGCGAGTCACCATTTTTTCCCAGTTCTTTGTGGAAAAATAGGTCCCTCGGCTTATATTCGGGTCGACTTATACTCGAGTATATACGGTACTTTTGTTACATTGCTTTTAGGATACTCAACACCTTAGCTCTAAATAATCTGACAGTCAGTTTATAACACCTTTATTTTTAAATATCTTATTTCTAATCTTTTGTCATAGCAATATCATATTAGAGTCTGGGAGTTCTAATAAAGGCCAACTTGAGTCTGGAGCACTGAACTTGTAGGAAAGGTCACAAATGATGATCACAGAACCCTGGGATACTGCAATTGTTGTAAATACATGCCCAAATTTTGATTGCATGACTGTGGGGATGCTGCAATAGTTGTAAGTGTGAGTAATGGCTGAACTCACTTTTTTCAGTGCTGTTGTAACTTTGAGCAGCACTAAATGAATGGTTGTAAATCAAGGACTACTTGTAACATTCAACAACTTCTGATTATAGGATCAAAATGTGCTAATACAGACAGCAAGTATGCTACAAGCTATATGCCATATTGGGCATCATTTTCTTTATGTAGTGATTGTATATGCATAAAAATGAAACATAAAGAGTATATTCACCTTTTCTCCATAACTGTATAAATAACTAGCTTCCACAGCTTTAGGAATTTAAGACTTGTGGGGAAAAAATCATCAGCAAGATGAATGGAAAGTAGTTTTACATCAGAAAATGTAGTGGTCAGGTCATAATAGTATCATGCTTTCTGCCTGCCATCAACACCTTCCAACCCATTTCACTTGCAGAAAGTGTCCACATTATAGTATTAGGACCCAAATTAAGAATGTCTCTATTACCATGTATGCATGGCTGTAGTTACACATATTTGCCCATGATTAAGAATGTTAATGTAGGCCAATATTATATTTTCCCATAATCTAGGGCAGAAAAAATAATGATCTATCAAGTTTTATTTCAGGAATACATCCATGAACCTTGGGGTTCTCATTCCAGTCTTAGACCATTCACTTCTATCACTGTATTTATAATGCACACAGTACTTCATTCTTGCCACTCCATCATTCCAACTCTTAACCCCTTGTCATTCTACTGGAAGTTGTCAGAATTATTGTTTCAGCCTCTTATGACTACTCCTTCTCTTTATGTTTTTAATTTTGAATAACTGCTGAGCAAAAAAAAAAAGGGGGGGGGGAGAAAACAGTAAAACAGTGAGCCCTGCACCACCAGTTACTAAACCCAGAAAGTATTTGCCATAATAAGAACATTCAACATTAAATGTTGTAAAAAGAAACCAGGCTGTCAAAGAATACAGTGGCTGGACACCAGCCAGAGCATAGAAAAGCTGACACCAGCCAGAAAAACTCAAAGTAGTGCAAGATCGGAAAGTATGAAGAGACCTGGCCCATAAAACCATCAAGAATCGGATATGACTGAATGGATAACATCATCATCATCATCATTAAAAGTCATTTAGTTTTAATCCTGTTTGTTTTACATGCTTTTTACAGGTGCTATACTTTTATGATCTATTTTATATCTATTTTATTTGCTCAATATTGAAGATTGCATGTCTATAATTTGAAGGTTGCTTCTGACACAAATAAAAAAAAAACAGATCCTGATTTGTAACCACCTGCACCGTTTTCACTGATGGTGCCTAATCCTGTTCTTCTCCGGGGGACTTTAAGAGAGCTAAGAGCTAACGTGCAAAGAGCGTCCTCTTGAGCAGTCCCCCGGTAAGGCTCGGGGGAGAGAATTTGAAGGAAGGGAAGGCTAGCACGGGCGATCTCGGGGAAGGGTGCCCTTTTTTCTGCCCCGGCTTCCCGAGAGCATCCTTGGAGGCGGCTGCCTGCCATCCACCATCCACACACTCATCCTCTGGAGCGGGAAGGGAGAAGGGGCGGGCCAAGGCAGGGGCTCGCGCTCTACGCCGCGTCTCTCTCCCCCCACCCCCCCGATACCTACCATCATCTCCTTGGCAGCAGCTGCCACAGGGATGGGCTGCAGCCCCCGGCCTTGGCTCGGCGTCCCGGCTTCTCCTTGCTCCCCCCGGCTGCCGAGCCCCAGCGCGGGGGGCGACTGGTGCGGGCGGCGGTCGTAGTAGTGGTAGCAGGCGAGCCAAGCGAGCGCCCCGCCAGCAGCCCCCGCGGCTGCGATGCTCAGTCCACTCGGGGTCCCCTCGCGGCCGGAGTCGGCGGCCTTCAGTCCCCAAAGCGGCCGGCGAGGTGCCGCCTCCAAGGGGAGACGACAACGGCGCCAACCCAAGAGACCTCGCAGCGCCGCCATAGACCCGGGTCCTCGGAGTGACAGGGCGAACGAAGGTGCTGAGGCGGCGACAGCAGCCGCGGCAGGGAAACATCGCGAGAGCTCCACGAGCTGCCAAGCGCGAGATGAGATGAGGGACTCTGCTTCCAAAGGCCACCTACCCCTCCCACCCGGGCCGGCCTCACGTCCCTCCTTCTGTTTGGCGGGTTGTCTGTCATCCCCGCAGGTTCCTTATCTGGGAATTTCTGCTCGCGACGGCTCCGGATTGCCGAGTTCTCTGCCGGTTGGCATCGCGAGGTGCCTGCGATTGCAATCTGGATTGTATCTTTGGAAGCAATGGTGATTGCGGAGGCTTTCTACTAACAACGCATTCCCAGTAATGTTGTCTTCCTTTGCTCTGCATACTCTGATAAGCTGATAAGAGCATAAGAATTAGTTGGCTGGTTGGCTGGACCGAGTATTCTAGCACAGAATGGCCCAATTAAAGATAGAAGTGGCCTCTCTTCTCTATTATAATTCTGTAGTGCAATTAAATTCAGCCAATACAGCAGGGGTAGTCAACCTTGGCTCTTTTATGACTCGTGGACTTCAACTCCCAGAATTCCTGAGCCAGCCATGCTGGCTCAGGAATTCTGGGAGTTGAAGTCCACGAGTCATAAAAGAGCCAAGGTTGACTACCCCTGCAATACAGTATTTCACTAAGAAAAAAGGATAACTCTCAGGGCTGCACCTCCAGCAAAAGTGTAGAAGAGGCGACCTTTTAAAGAGTTCTAGTCCTGCCTTAGGGGCAAAGCCAACTGAGTGACCTTGGGCCAGTTACTCTTTCTCAGCCTTAGGAAGAAAGCAAGGGCAAAGACGTTCTGAAATCTTGTCAAGAAAACTGCAGGGACTTGTCCAAAGACTTGCCAGGAGCCAACAGTGCCTGAAAGCACCTTCTCACCCTCCCAAAAAAATAATCAGAAGCTCCTAAAATAACTCCAGACCAGGGGTAGGCAACCTTGGCTCTTTTATGACTCGTGGACTTCAACTCCCAGAATTCCTGAGCCAGCATGGCTGGCTCAGGAATTCTGGGAGTTGAAGTCCACGAGTCATAAAAGAGCCAAGGTTGCCTACCCCTGCTCCAGACCATTCTGCCACCAACTGCAAGTGTTGTTGAGAGTTATACAGTATTCTCCCTGAGTGGAAAAATTCTATTTAGATGCAATAGTGAAGAGCAACTAGAAGAAATTACTTGTGAATTTATCCAATTTATTTTAAACAGCCATCTCACGACTGTGTCTCAATGAATGGGGCCCTGGCTGAATTATTTCTTTGGAATTCTTTTCTAATTTGTAACATGTGGATCCAGGGCTGCATTCGTTTACAGGCTGAGCCAACCTATATTTAAAAAATAAAATATTTATTTAGCAAATGTAAATTTATATAGTGAATCCTAACAGTAAAAGGAATATTATTATGACCATTATATTTTATCCCACATTTTTCCATATAATTCAAGATAGCACATAACTAATTTTCCTGCCTATTTTCCCTATAACCACAAATCTGTGAAATGTGTTGGATTGAGAGAGAGAGAGACTAATCCAAATTCATCCGGATGGCTTTCATGCCTAAAGGAAGGCCAGCACCGTAACCATCACACTGACTAGTGTAATGACTGGACAGCAAACATTTATATTCATTTCCAACTACTCCTGATTTGCAATTATACCAATTAGTTATCAGTATGTGTACAGAAATGCAGGATTGAAAATCATGTGGCTGTGTTATTAATGGGACAGATGAGCTTCCTCTGTGCTTTTTAGGCTGGCTTATGCATATGAACCATTTGGTAACATCTGAACAAATAGTTTTTAAGAAAAAAATCCACCAGGATGAGTGGAAATCACTTTATTGTTGCCATTTGCTGCTTTATATCTGATGCAGAATAGTTACAAATGGAATTCAAGCCTATGATAACTGATGGTCCAGAATGCATCAATCGTCTCTATTTTAAAAGCAGTGGTGGGATTCAGCCAGTTCGCACCAGTTCGGCAGAACCAGTAGCTAATTTTTTGTTGCCCAGGCCCAGAATTACAGGAGCGGCATCCACACAGAGAACCGGATGTTCACAAATTGGAATCCCATCACTGTTTAAAAGTATTGCAAATAGAAATACAGCCACAGCGTGTGTGTGTGTGTATCTTTGTGAATTTTCCATATATTTTATTTTTTTCTGTTTTATAATTGTATGAATTATAAAAATAATACCCAAAATTAACTTGAACATAAAATTTGCACTTCCGAATACATATAAATTAAGAGATGAACAGTGATGTATCCTTTTAATTTGGATGTCTTTATATGAAGTTAATTACGGTAGGACTTGCAGACTATTTTTTTTGTTTAATAGAAAGAAAGCAGATCTGCCAAATACTTATATATTAGTATTTCCTAGGACTGCTTAATTAAGATTTTTTGCTGAAGAATAAAGTTCATTTTAATCATATAGTTAAGTACAAGATTCCAGCTTAATTGAAGATACCATTGTTAACATTCTAACATCTAACATCTCTAGACTGAAATAAAGCAAATCTTTGCATTGTTTTCAGGGAACTTTTGAGAACATATATTAGGGGGCAGTATTGAGCACCTGACAAGCTATCCTGCTTAGACGGATAGATTATATTTGAATGAACAGGTCACAGATTCTGTAGGCTTGCTTGCTTGATGATCGCAATGCTTCTTAATGTAATGTATTATGGAGGTGTATGTTTTCTGCTCACCACAGATGTACCTGTGGAAATGTTACACAGATCTTGAGATCTTATATAATGTTTTTATATGGAAATATTCACAAATGTTTTTTAGGAAAAATGTGATAACATGAACGTGTTGTATCCAAAACATTGAAAATATCTATTTGGGTTGAATTTCTTCCTATTAACATATTCAAAAAGTATGGGGAATTAGATCCCACCAGAAGTTTTACTTATTGTCCAACCTTCTGTCTGTCTGATTAGATGAACTCAATAAGTAGAAACTAGAATTCCTGCTTCGTTAAAGCCACTTACTGATGTTAAGTGATTTTCAAAGAGCAGCTGTTTGAGGACTTGAAGCATTTTGCAGGTGTTGCTCTCTTGAAGCTTTGCTAATTGAATGTATTTTTTGACTGGCAAAAAACTTCAAGGTGCAGGAAAAGAAGCATAGAATGGTAGAGCTTTAAATATCTATTTGCTGCAGGAGACACAGCTTCAGGGAGATAGAGGAGTCCCACTTGAGTTCTGTAAGCCAAAAGTCTTTTGTAGAACATCAATTGTCCTAAACTGCAGGAGCATTCCAAAAATGGGGTTTTTGTGTTTCTTTACTTTATTTTATGCACATTAGAAATCCAGAAGGGCTTTCCAGGGAATAAAGGCAGGCTTTACAGAAGTACAGGCATTTCCATGCACTGCTATAGAGTTAAAATACTGCAGGATCCAATCTGCGTCGGTCGGGTTTAGTCTTCCAGGCTTTCAGACTCATGCTGGAGCCCATCTACAGGGAACTTTTATCTGGCGGGGTGTGTGCTTTGGGCTATTCTGTGTGTGGTATGTATGTATGTATGTATGTATGTATGTATGTATGTATGTATGTATGTATTTATTTATTTATTTATTTATTTATTAGCAAGAAGGGATTTATTGTTGTGATGGAAAAGCAGTCACAGCCACTTGAAAGGAACCTGGGAAATCACAAAAGCCTATAAAGCATTTATACACACACACACGACAGTTAAGGGAGTCTCAACGTGACATTTTTGCGTGGATTTTCATCTTTGGGACAGGGGCCACTGAAGCTGCTGTCAGGAAGGGGGAAGAGAAAACAGGATTGCATTACACCTTAAATTCGACACTAAGAACAGCTGGCTTGCTTTTCACTTAAAGGCTTGAACTACATCCGGTGAGAGGCCAAGGATCTGTTTCAGTTGCCAAACTTCAAGCAGCTTGCACAGGGCCATGGCAGAAAAACGCACCTCTCCTTGCTCATGTTGGGTAAATTGCTGGCAGATCTCGGTTGATGCCTTGAGCATGGCTCCTCTGAACTGGCTCTGTGCTTGATAGGGAATGGCATTCTTCCATCCAGTTCGGAGAGGTGTCTGCCTACGCTGGCAAATAGAATGAAATGGAAGTTCACCTTATCGTCTTCAGCCCGCCATTGGCCCTCTTGGACAACTGCATTGTGGGCTTCTTGAATGGCCTTCTTGTTCTCCAGACATTTTGCCCTCTCGTCTGGGGACAGTCCAGCTGTCGCAGTGAGGAATTCTTTTAATGCAGATCCTTCATTGAATCATATTTTATCTTGATTATTAGCTACCGCGTGGATAAGACCAATGATTTCACAAGAGTTACTGGCAGCCTGCTTCACAAAGTAGACATCTGAACTCGTTTCTTGGCCCCTCAGTTCTTCAATCTGTTTTTTTCTGAAGTTTTCGTGCTGAGCTGTAAGGGAAAAGAGCAGAAGTACTGCACAAGCCGGAGTCGGCACAGCACTCAAGATGTCTTTCTCAAACCCTAATACATCCACAAATTGCCAGCCAGGGGCAACTCCTAGGCAATGGACTATTTTGTTCAGCATCTCCGGGTTGATCTCCATGAGCTGCCACACCATCCTGCCACTCGCGAACCCACCGCTAGCGGATCCATTCTGGGGCTGTGTGTGGTATTTATATGGTAGCTGTTGTATGTGGCTTTTTAGATGTTGATTGGGGTTAAAATACTGTACAAGTTAAAAGTTTTGTATAGTTAAAATACTGTACAAAATAGATTAGCTATCATTTTCTGTATGTTCATTTTTATAATCCTGTTTTCTCTGAACTTATAAGACCAAAGAATTTTGATCTAGACATAAATGTGCACTGATTTTCTAGTTACATACATTTGTTGTTGATTTTCCATTGAGACCATTGCTATCATTGAAATACCAGCTTGATGTGTTATAATAATTCATTTGTAAGCATGCTAATTGTCATTCTCAAATTGGAAACTCTTTTCCCTTATCTT